AGAACGTGGGTACCATGGTGAAGCTCACAGCAACAAATTACTCCATTTGGAAGCCAAAAATGGAGGACATACTTTTCTACAAAGATCTGTACGATCCTGTAGAAAAGGGAGACAACAAGCCAGATGATGTGAAGGATGACGATTGGAAAAAATTACACATGAAGGCTGTCAGTTTAATAAGACAGTGGGTGGATATCAGCATATTCCACCATGTTGCCACAGAGTCGAAAGCTCATACTCTGTGGAACAAAATTGAACAAATGTACCAGAGGAAGACTGCACAGAATAAAAGCTTTCGTCATTAGAAAGCTTGTGAATTCAAAATATCGGGATGGAAGATCAGTTGCAGAACACTTGAATGAGTTTCAAGACATGGTGAACCAACTTGTTACCATGGAAATGAAACTTGATGAAGAGCTGCAGACGCTGTTACTTTTAAGTTCTTTACCGGATAGCTGGGAGACTCGGGTGGTCTCACTGAGCAACTCTGTCCCTGAGGGAAAACTGACTTTGACCAAGTCAAAGACAGTATGTTTAATGAAGAAACAAGAAGAAAAGACTCAGGGGCAAGCAGTTCCCAAACCCTGGTCACATAAACCAGGGGGAGAAGTAAAAGCAGAGGTCGGAATAACAAATCCAGAGATAAATCAGAATATCAACCCAGGAGAAAATTCAAGTGTTATCACTGCGGTGAAGAAGGGCATATCAAAAGAAACTGCAAAGCCTGGAAGAATAGAGGTTGGAGAAACAACAAGACAGAGAACGATGAAAAAGTACCGCAACCCATGTGATCAATGGGGAAGTGGTGTTGCTCTCTGTTGAAGAAGAAGAGTGTCATGTTGCTAATTCATATGTTAAATGGGTCATTGACTCAGCAGCATCATTCCATGCAACCTCTCACAAGGAATTCTTTTCTCTATACAAAGAAGGAGACTTTGGTAGAGTAAAGATGGGCAACAACAGCATTGCAAATATTGTGGGAGTTGGTGATGTGTGTATTCAAACTGTTATTGGGTGCACAATAACACTGAAGGACGTACGACATATACCAGACTTATGTCTGAATCTGATCTCTGTGCATGCATTGGATCTAGCAGGCTATACTAACAACTTTGGTAACGGCACGTGGAGGCTTACCAAAGGATCATTGTTAGCTGCTAGAGGTACAGTGAGATCGACACTGTACAGAACTCAAGTGAAGCTGATCAAGGGTGGATTGAATGCAGTCGAAGATGAACCTTCGCCAAATTTGTGGCACAAAAGACTGGCTCATATTGGTGAAAAATGATTACAAATTTTGGCAAGAAAGTCCCTCATCCCATTTGCCAAAGATTCAAAACTGAATCCTTGTGATTATTGTCTCTTTAAGGAGCATCATAGAGTGTCTTTCAGCAAAAACCTCGAAGCTGAAAGAGAATGTGTTGGAGATGGTGTATTCTGACGTATGTGGACCCATGAAAGTGGAGAGTCTCGGTGGTAGCAGATATTTCGTGACATTTATTGATGATGCTTCACGAAAATTGTGGGTGTACTTCTTGAGAACGAAGAACGAAGTTTTTTAGTACTTCAAAAGGTTTCATGCTATGGTGGAGAGGCAGACTGGTAAACCTTTGAAGTGTCTTCGCTCAGATAATGGGGGCGAGTATACTTCCTATGAATTCAAGAATTATTGTGCCGTGCATGGCATCAGGCATGAAAAGATTGTACCTGGAACCCCACAACATAAAGGTGTGGCTGAAAGAATCAACAGAACCATTATGGAGAAAGTGAGGTGTATGTTAAGAATGGCTAAGCTACCTAAGCCATTCTGGGGAGAAGTTGTTCTAACGGCGTGCTACCTGATCAACCGATCTCCATCTGTTCCTTTGGGCTTTGATATCCCTGAGAGAGTATGGTTCGGACATGATGTTAAATACTCTCATTTAAAGGTGTTTGGATGCATAGCTTTAGCTCACGTAAGCAAGGAACAGAGACGAAAACTTGATGATAAAGCCATTCCTTCTATATTTCTGGGCTATGGAGATGAGGAATTTGGCTACAGGTTATGGGATCCAGAAAATCGAAAAATTATCAGAAGCAGAGATGTAGTGTTCCATGAGCAAGAAACTATGTCTGATTCTGCTTCACCAGAAATCAGAGAACCGAGTGGTAAGGTGGATCTTTCACCTGTCAATGTCAAACCTCCTGGAGATGCCACAACAGGGGGAGAGTGTGATGGAGAACTCAGGGTTGATAATGAACCAACAATAGAAGATGGTGAAGGTGTCGAGCAGGAAGACCACGAAGCTCTGCCTCAGCTCAGGAGATCAAATCGAGCGATTCAACCGTCTACGAGATACACTAGTTCCACGTATATTACCATCACTGAAGAAGGGGAGCCAGAAAGCTTTGAAGAAGTACAGACTCATAAGGATAAATCCCAGTGGATGAAAGCCATGCAAGAAAAAATGGATTCACTGATGAAAAACGAAACTTATGAGCTTGTGAAGCTTTCGGAAGGCCGAAAAGCCTTGAAGAATAAATGGGTGTTCAAGCTTAAGAAAGATGGTAACAAGCTTTTGAAATACAAGGCTCCTTAGTCGTGAAAGGATTTGGACAAAAGCGAGGAATAGATTTTGATGAGATATTCTCATCGGTTGTAAAGATGAGCTCTATTCGAGTAGTACTCGGATTGGTGGCTAGCTTGGATCTGGAACTTGAACAACTAGATGTGAACACTGCATTTCTTCATGGAGACCTAGATGAAGAAATCTACATGGAGCAACCAGAAGGATTTGAGAAGACTGGAAAAGAGCACATGGTTTGTAGATTGAAGAAGAGCTTGTATGGACTAAAACAAGCTCCAAGACAGTGGTATAAGAAATTTGACTCGCTCATGGAGAGCCATGGATATACCAAGACTGATGCAGATCATTGTGTGTTCGTTAAGAAATTTCCAGGTGATAAATTCATTATCCTTTTGTTATATGTAGATGATATGTTGATAATGGGACAGGATATGAAGTTGATTGGTGATCTGAAGAAGGATTTAGCAAAGTCCTTTGAAATGAAGGATCTGGGCCCTGCGAAACAAATTTTGGGCATGCAGATCATGCGGGACCGAAAATCCAAGAGATTATGGTTATCGCAGAAACGGTATGTGAATCGAGTTCTGGAGAGATTCAACATGAAATCGACTAAGCCGGTTAATACACCGTTGGCCAATCACTTCAAGCTCAGCAAACGAAGTTGTCCTACGAATCAAGAAGAGAAAGAAGCTATGGCGGGTGTTCCATACTCCTCGGCAGTCGGGAGTTTGATGTATGTTATGGTCTGTACAAGACCAGATATCGCTCACGCGGTTAGAATTGTTAGCAGGTATCTTTCCAATCCTGGGAAGGATCATTGGGAAGTTGTGAAGTGGATCTTGAGGTACCTAAAAGGCAGTGCAAATAAGTCCTTGAGCTTCGGCAAAGGAACCCCAGTTCTTATACAGATGCGGATATAGCAAGTGACCTGGATAGTAGAAAATCTACTTCATGGTTTGTGTTTATATTTGTAGGAGGAGCTGTATCTTGGCAATCTAAATTGCAGAAATCTGTTGCCTTGTCGTCTACTGAAGCGGAGTATATTGCAATGACAGAAGCAGGCAAAGAAACGCTATGGTTAAAGAGGTTTCTTCAACAATTGGGAATGAAGCAGGAAAGGTACGATATTCATTGTGATAGTCAGAGCGCATTGGATTTAAGTAAGAATGCGATGTACCACTCTCGCACGAAGCACATTGATGTCAGATATCATTGCCTACGTCAAGCAGTGGAAGAACAACGGTTCAAGTTAGAAAAGATTCATACTGACGAAAATCCTGCTGACATGATGACGTAAGTTGTAACAGGGGGAAAGCTTCAGCTCTGTGTCGAGTTGATCGGCATGGAATGCATGTGAAGATTTGCAGAATGTATCCCTTTGGCTGAAGGGAGAAAATTGTGGGGTCCATCCACTTGAAAGTCCAGCCAAACATTGAAAAACAAAGATTTTAACAACTACAATGATTAGAATTTTTTATTGAAATGGGTTGTCATTTCTGACAATTGTGAGCTGCCATTATTTGTCAAGTTGTACAATTTTTTCCTATAAATAGGATCATTTGCAGGCTGAAGGATGCACCAAGTAGAAGAAGAAAAAAGAGAGAGCAAGAGAGTACAGAAATAATATTATGTGTGTTATTTTTCAGTGAGATAAAAATAAAGTGTTTGAGTAAATCCTGTGAGTATGTGAAAAATACACCGGGTTGGGTATTAACTCTATTGCTCCTTGTTTAGGAGTGGGGTTTCACTGGGTCACTATATTTTACATTTCTATTGTAGGGAGTGTAAAAAAATATTATAATTATCTTGAAAATATAGTGGAATTGTTCGGAGGTTGTCCCGTGGTTTTTTCCTCTATTTGGAGGTTTTTCCACGTTAAAATCTTGGTGTCTTATTTCTTGCATATTTTATGTATTTGGAATATTTTTAGTATGCTATGTGGGCAGTTTAATCTGATCTTCCACATCAGAAAAAAATTATTCCAGTATTATTGCAAGAGATTTTCTTTTGTCATTCTTGAGTTGCTGGGATTGAGATTATTGTTCACCATTTTACCTTGATATTTTAATTTACATCTTCCGCATTGCGCATCTGAGCCCAACATTTATCTCATGGACTTCAAAGGCCACTGAATTTTAAAGTTCGGCTCAAAATTTATCGTTAATTCAGTTAAAAATATTTCGTGTTATGTTAAGGTTTCTAAATGCAATATGCAAGTTGCAATTCTGTATACCCGATAAAGTGATTTGTCAATTTTAAAATTTCATATGACAATCATACAAAAATGGCACAGTTTAGGAGGTTACACATTTTTCCCCTAAAAATTGGTATGAGTACTTTGTTGGAGGTCTACTTAGAGCCACACCTACTTACCAAGTTTATTCGACTAATTACAACAGAAATAAATAAAATCAAATAAGCCAAGCGGCTAGCCTAGGTAACACGGATAAGTAGTACCACCATTACGAATATGCATGTCATGACAAAGATGAGCAGCCACGTAAAGCATGATGTCTTCATACTCTGCGAGAAAACCTCCGCTGCCCTTGTGTTGGCATGCCCAGTGCTTGCTAAGCTGTGTTCAACAGCTTTCTCAGTCGAGTCAAGGATCTAAAATGAAAAGGATAATCAATTGGTAAGCTGAAAATAAATACAAAAGTTTCTGTTGCACAAATAAAAACGAAATTGTAATGGAAGATAATTCGGATGCTCGGATATGAGATTCTATAGTGATTAAAAAACAAACTATTGTGGCCAAGAATAAATATATGTATCATTGAGGAAAGAACTCCCCCTCCGAATGTCAACCATTAAAAAGATAAGTTCCAATACAGAAGGGATTGAATCATATGACTCGAAGGCGTGATGGTTTAAGACAAAAGCTTATAAGCAAATAAAGTTATACTCACCTTCTCGGTGTTTTTGATGGATCCGTTCATCCTAAGACTACTCTCTTTGAGTTGTCGTGCTAAACCAACCATTTCGTCTGTCAAATCTTCTTGTAGCTTTCTGTAAAGAAACAAAGCATATAATCAAATTAGTAGGTAGCATGAAGCATAGAAAAAACAATAGATAATTTACAAACACGTGCTCAATGACAAAAACTGTAAACTCCAACTGTAACAAAATTGTGACTAAGGCAAAGATTTTCATAGAAAGAGACGAAATCCAAAAGCATTACACTATTTCTTCTAGAAAAAAGCTATATTTTGTCATTGTGAGCCGCCAAATTTACCCAGCAAATCCATCAGACGAATATGGTCCTACTTATATCCATATCCAAGTTCTATTCATATTCATACTATAAACATCAAAAAGAAAAGAGAGAAAATTCATAATAAGACATCCCGAACCATTAACAGTTTCCTGATGTTCCTAGACCATTAAAATATTCGATTGTGTGAAATTAAGTACCTGTGTTTCTCAATATGACCCTGTGCTGCCGCATCCAATTTGACAGATTTCGGAGAATCCTCAACAGTGTTGGGGGTGGCTCTTTCAGATGATGGAGGCCTGCCTTAAGTCAAAGTCCATGTTAGTCATAATTTCATTTTATATATCATAATACTGTAAAAGGGTGGATAGAATTTATGATCATTGAACATACACAAATCTCCTCCTCAGTCCTCTGGGAGAACTTACACCTTCCGCTGATACCGAAGGAGGCTCCAGAACCTTGCTGTCAAGAGAAGGCTCCTCAGGAAATTGAGTACTGCACTGAAATTTCCAAGAAAAATGCACGATTAGAGGTAATTAGCATTAGAATTTTAAAACTTCATAACCATGATTAGGAGAAAAAAAAAAAGAAAAAGAAAAAACAAATGTCTTTATGTTCCAGCTGTAAGCTCAAGGAGCCACTTATTTCGAAGTAATATGCAGAAAATTGTTTAAACTTTTTACATTACAAAATATTGAACCTCAAGTGCCCAAAAAAAAAAAAAAAAGATCAATATTGATTTCTAAGCACCATATTTGAAAACAGAAAAGAAATGGAGGTTTTTTTCCTTAAAAGCAGACCATTCTAGCCTTGATCTGTCAGCCATTACGTCACATAAAGAATGAAAGGAAAAGAAACTCACACGCCAAAAGAAAAGGAACAGAAAATGAAAAGAAAAGAAAAGAAACTGGAAAAGACCGCAACAGGCTGCATCCAGCAGTCATAGGAGATTGTAAATGGGATGAGCCGGTCGTTGGTACCTCCAATTTTTCCGATTGAAGTATGTTATCAAGGTATTTTGCTCCAATATAAAAAATAAACCTAGTTTAGAGGCAATGAACGGAGCCTGATTTCAGATCCAAGATTTTTTTTTTTTAAATGGGTTCAATTACGCCTTTGTCTTGCCCTTGGAAAGAGGAAAGGTGCCATAAACCGCCCGCCTCGGCAACAGGGCTGCCTCTGGCTGTCTGGCAGGGGCGACAGATTGCATCTGTCTCCTCTCACCATGACAGCGCCATTTAAAACTATGCCACGCACAATTTGAGCCTTTTAAGAGCACCCACAATGCATTGGGTCTAATTTTACATATTTGGCATATAAATAGACTTAAGTCCTAAATGACATGGACAAACTCAAGTAAAAAAACTTAAAAGCTATTCAATGCAAAAATAAAATACTAGGTATAGCACATATGCCGACCAATAAAAATGCTCTAATATGTTTCCTTTATTAAAAGAAAAATTAAATTAGGAATAAATGATGAGTGTTTGGGTTTGTACTTGGGTCCAAAATAGACCCAAGTGTGGACTTGGTCTTTTTTTTTTTATTGTCACATAAGCTAGACTAGGTCCACTTTTAATTGCATTGTGAAACACTTTTTTTATAGACTATGTCTATTTCCTACATGGCATGTGATTTTTTTCTAAGAGACCCAAAGCATTGTGGGTGCTCTAAGAAAATAAAAAATAGAAGTGCAATAAAAAATCACCTGGATTTTATTTCATCTTCAAAATATACATAATTTGTTGAAGGGGGGAAATGATATTCAAGTTAAAAAAAAAAAAAAAAAAAAAAAAAAAAAAAAAAGAGAAAACCAACTCTACTAAACTCTGCTTATTGTACAGAACGTTTTTTCAAGTCAAACGGAAATTCTCTCCTCTAGGAAATCATAATATTCTTCTAAATGTCCTAGCATAAAAGCCATTTTCTTATCGTCTTTCCAAATAATCTGTGCACTAGCAATAGACCAAACATATTCCACATTCCAAAGAGTTGCATAAATCAATGTGCAATGGTTTGTAGGACTAAAACACATATCACCTGCAAATGACAGAGAAAAAGAAAAAGAAAAAGAAAAAAGAGCAAGCTACTCATAACCCAACGCACCTCGGTGGCCACCAGTTTGGCAGCTATAGCTTCAATTTTCTCGGAATATTCGTTTAACTGACCTTTTGAAACCCTGTAGAAAAAGACAGAATAAATGAGATGAAACTGGAAAAGAAATGATACTCAATTCATGGACTGCATCCAGTTAGATATTTTCAAATTAAGGTATGAAAGAAAAAGCCGAAAGACACTACTGGACAGCTTTCAGGACTAAGCTACATAAAGAACTTTGTTGAGCATATCAATAAATGAAATGAACAATTTTTAAAGACATTATTAGGGTCACTTTTAATTATAGTTGTCGCTATCAAATAATGAAATAGAGATCACGCGCATGCTTATAGCAATCAACTAATCAAGAATACTTCCTTAGGCTTGTCAAGTATAACGAGTTCAAGTGAAAGACATAACTTCATAATTCCATATAGATACTATGTTATCTAGGAGGTCTATACCAGCCAAATACACCATTAAACTTGTATTAATAAATAATTATTCGTTAAACATACCAAAAGATATAAACAATAACCTTTAAAATTTTAGGAAGTCTATTCGTATCATTAACAACAATAAATGGGATGTGACTTTGTCCTGGTCAATTAGTAATTTAGCAAACGCTATAAGCAGCCATAACAGAGCAAAAATGATATAATTTATCGAACACACGGAGTCCAGGAGAAATTTCCAAACATGTTACACGAAATCAAGAGTCGGAAATAAAAAACAATTAGAAATCCCAGAAGGAAAAGCAACCCAACCTCGGAAGACCTTCGGAGATCCTCTCTTCGGCGAGTTGCTCCAGTAGCTCTCGTAGTGTAGCAACATACTGTAAAGTTGCAGCCAGAGAAAAATGAACAATTACGCATTTCCAAATAAATATATTAAAAAGTTGTACTAAAAATGGGTAGAAACCGAAAAGCATATAAATAGAGAGAAAAACATCATAATAATATAAAACCTACTGTCCTTTCTTCGGAATCTCCTAACGTTAACCAACAGTGTATGCACAACACATGAAAAGTTAAATGAAACATATATTGGATACAACTATGGATTAGAGAACTGGAGAGCATACATGCACGAGCTTTGCTTGATTATGCTGCTGCGGGGCTGCTGCAAGTAACCTTCTCAGATTCACTTCAGTTTTGCTAAATCTCATTGCAGAATCCTAAAAAATTCTTCAAATGAGCTCAGAGTATGACTTCAGAATCTTAGGGCTAGTACGGTAACCGAACTGATTCCATCAAACCGATACCGAACCCACACAATCGGTTTAACTAATTTGCAAACCGAAACCGAACAGATAAGAATTCCGTAACCGACACGATAAAATGGCGCGGTTTCAGTTTAAACCGATAAAAAAAATGAAAAGCAGAAAAAAAAAATACTATAACACATAAAATCTCCTCAGGGATGGTGTAACAGAGGCTTAAATACATAAAATGAACATGAGCAGCCAGGGACATTACAGAGGCTATTAACATGGCTCAGGCAATTGGCACAACAACAAAACTAGGGTTGTGGCTCGGCAAGAAAAAATTGGCAAATTGGCACAAGAACAAACTTTTAACTCAAATCTGAAGATTTCAATTTTCATCCCTATGAAACTCACAACACAAAATAGAAAAACCAATTACATTACCTTGGGCCTTGGGACGGCTGACGGCGAAGGTGATTCGGTGAAGCCGTGAAGGTGAGCCGGTGAAGGAGGCGATCTGAATTCTAAAGTGAACTCCCAGGTCCCAGGTCGAGGCTTTCGATTCAGAAGTGACGGTGAGTCGGTGAAGCCGTGAAGGCGAGTCGGTGAAGCCGTGAAGGTGAGTCGGTGAAGGAGGCCATCTGAAGTGAAGGTGATGTGAAGTGGTGAACGTGATGAACTGAGGCGATCTGAATTTCTGAGGCTACAGTCGAGCCTAGATTCTGAATTTCTGTTTCTGAATTTCTGAAGTGATGAACTTGTCCCAGCCCTTTATTCTTAATATCCGTCCCTTTTTTTAAACATTTATTATTTTATTTAACATAATCCCACCTATTTTAATTTTTTTATATTATTACCGGTTCGCGTACAAACCGAAACCGAATGGGTTCGGAACGATACAAACCGATAACATTTCGGTAACCGATTTCGATTACTGTTACACATGAGTCGGTTCAGTTCGGTTTGGTTTATTTTCTCATCGGTTCAATTTTCGGTCAAAAATACCAGCCCTACTTTAGACATAGTATCCAATCCAGTAAACATGTATGTTCTAACCCACAAATTTCAACAACAAATTTATATGACAAAGCTGATATGAAAGAGCACAACAGAGTGATAAAATTATGTATGAGAGAGAAAGAAGTATGTTTTTTTTTAAAAAAAAAACAAATGGAATTTCACGTTACAAGACTTGATTTTTGGAGATCATATCATATTAGTACCAAATTTTACATAATGGAAATTTCACGTTACAAGAGTTAATTGTTGCCCAGCCACAGCCCTAGTTTTGTTGTTGTGCCAAATTGCCTGAGCCCTGTTATGAGCCCTGTTAATAGCCTCTGTTATTGTCCTCATACTCATTTTATGTATTTAGATTTTATGTGTGATAGTATTTTTTTTCTGCTTTTCATTTTTTTTATCGGTTTAAACAGAAACCGCACAATTTTATCATGTCGGTTACGGAATTCTTATCTGTTCGGTTAGTTTCATGAATTAATCCCAACAGACTTCACACTAACTTGCTTAATTTCATGAATTAATATCTGCAACAAAAGATCAAAATAGGCTTCACAATATAGAACTCACAAGCTTATTGACACACAGGCTTCACAATATATAATCTCTACAACAAAATCTCTGAAAAGGCATGCAAACAATTCATATCAAAACCGGATGAAGTGCAACAGAAAAACACGAATCGTACCTTTGTGGACATTCAGAGATTTGAGCAAAGATTGTTGGACTTAGGCGAAGACGGGCGGAGACGAACGGACACGGGAGGAGGCGAACGGAGATGACGAGAGACCGTCGGCGGAGTCAAGTATAGACGGACCGAAGACGCCCCAAGACAACCCGAGACAGGCGGAGATGTGTTTGAGACGGCCGGATACGGGCGCAAATGGGAGACCAAAAATCTGATGGGGCTAGGTTTCGAATTTGCCGTAGCATCTCCAATGGTAATAGTTATTATTAGCTATATGGTTAGTTGACGTGGATGTGAGAGATAAGAAAAATAACTATTTTATATTATTGGACTCACGTACTCTTCTCACATAATCTTGGGCTACGTGAAATATATAAGCTATTTGTTAGTAGCTAGCGACTACTCTCTCTCTTACTTTTCTCCTGTCCACGTCATAATAGTTAGCCAAATAGCTAACCATTGGAGACGCCCTGAGAAATCTGATTATGATTTAGAATTTTGTAAATTCTTTTTTTTATTGTTAAATGTTTTGGTTAGAGTAGTTGTCATTAATTTAACCATGGTTATTTATTTGGGTGAGATGTTAACTATCCTGCCAGCATTAAAAATTAAATAAAAAAGAAAAAAAAAAATATTGATAAAAGACACGTGTCGGGCATTAAGCCGGTGAGGGCAGTGCCCTCACCGGTAGGATCGAATTTACCGAAAGACATGTATTTATATATCTTATATATTTGTTTTGCAGGGTGGCACTGGAAATATGTATTAAGGTGGTCTGAATTTATTCGGATATCCATTTCCGCATTCTTCTTCGGTTTAAGAATAGTTTGATCTTGTTGATATTTTGTCTCATGGATAAAAGAAAATGGATTCAAATTCATGTATTTTTCGTTTTCCTTTTACCAGGGCTCATCTCTAAATTTGAAGATTGGAGCATGTTTCGTTGCAATATTCGTGCGAGGTCTATTTGTGACATTTGTTAAGTAATTTGAATTATTGGACTTTGTCTATTTGCGTTAGAGTTCCGATTATTTGCAATTGTAATGGTGACTAATTTCATTTGGACTTGAATATTTGTAGTAATATGTTGTTTTAGTACAGTTGGGCTATTTTGACGCAGTATTTGAGTGATCGTGGAATATATTTTTGGTGGTTGTGAGACATTTGAATTAGAATTTACTTGCTTTTCATTATTAGTGTAATTATATATTTGTAATGTTAGTTAAAAAGATTTATTGAGCATATTTTTTTAAATTTCTTACTAGAAGGCTTTGGTTGTGCCTAGCACAGACGAGATGGCCCTATCGTGTGGTTTTGAAGGACATTGTATGTGCATTGTCTTTATTCAAAAATAATAGTGTTTATTTTTATGAAAACATAACAAAAACACAATCGCAAGAAAGTATAGAACGAACTCTTAAACTCCTTCAATTCTGAAAATTTAGAAGCTTACGTATCAAGTCTCTCCCAGGTCATAGATGTATTGCCAATAATAGTATCGAAAATCTCTCGGTTCCACGAATTATCAGTGAGGGTCAAGTCATATGTTGTGCTGCAATAGAGAAGAATTTATTAGTTTCCACATGTGGCATTGACAATGAAATATCATTGCAAGAAAAAAAAAAATACAGAGAAGAAAATGATACGAAGAGTCATGACAAAATGGAGATTGACATATAGATGCTCTAAAGGAACTGATAGATAAATATTTGCAGAAAACCATTGATAGACTGTCAAAATCTTACAGAGTATAAATGAAAAAATCTCAACGACATCCAATAAATCATTATTGTAAGAAAGTGGGAAAAATATGTTCTGTATTATTCACAAAGACATATACACATATATATAGATACATAGAAGGCCTAAACCTAACTTATTGTACAAGAAAACATTTAACATAACTAACACCCCTCCTCAAACACAACGTGGTATAGTGGAGCTCAACTTGAGTTTGCTAAGAAGTAAACAAAAGCGACCGGGAAGGAAAGACTTCGTGAAGACATCCGCTGGTTGATCTATAGAGGAGACGGAAACAAGCTTCACAGTCTCATGTGCAACATGCTTTCGAATGAAGTGACAGTCAATCTCAATATGCTTGGTACGCTCATGAAAGGTATCATTATAAGACATCTTTATAGCACTCTGACTATCACAATGTAAAGCAGTAGACACCGACTGAGGTGCACCAAGATCAACAAGTAGTCGACGCAGCCATAATAACTCTGAGGTGGAATCAGCAAGAGCACGATACTCAGACTCAGCACTCGATCTGGAAACCAATGTTTGCTTCTTACTGCGCCAAGAGACAAGTGAATCACCAAGAAAGAAGAAGTACCCAGTAATAGAACGACGATCAGTAGGATCTCCAGCCCAATCTGCATCAGAATAACCGCTAAGCGTCAAAGAAGAATGGGCCGAGAAGTGTAAACCATGCAATAGAGTGCCCTTCACATAACGAAGGATGTGCAACACAGCGGAATGATGCGTGGTTCTCGGAGCAGCCATAAACTGACTCACAATATGAGCAACATGAGCTATATCAAGCCGAGTGACAGTCAAGTATATCAAACTCCCAACAAGCTGACGATATAATGTAGGATCCTCAAGAAGAGAGCTATCAAGTGGAGTAAGACGAACATCATAATCAAGAGGAGTGGAAGCTGTCTGACAATCAGTGAGACCGGCCCGAGCAACAAGATCAGAGGCATACTTGGCTTGAGACAAATAGAATCCATCAGACGAATCAGAGATCTCAAGACCCAAAAAATAGCGAAGCTGGCCCAAACTCTTCATCTCAAAATGTTGACGAAGATAATCCTGCAAATCAGAAATACCGGTAATATCATCCCCCGTGATGATCATATCGTCAACATAGAGTAGCAAAATAATGATCCCGGAGGAGGAGCGCCGAAGAAATAAAGCAGAATCGTGATCACTCGTAGTGAAACCAAACTGAAACAATGCAGAACTGAACGTGGCATACCAAGCACGGGGCGCTTGTTTCAAGCCATACAAAGCTCGACGTAGACGACAAACTTTCCCAGATGACAATGATCCAGGAGGAGGAGTCATGTAAACCTCCTCAGACAAGGCACCGTGTAAGAAGGCATTCTTGACATCTAACTGTAGAAGAGACCATCGACGAACAGCAGCAACTGCAAGTAAACACCGGACAGTAGTAAGACGAGCAACCGGTGCAAAGGTCTCTTCATAATCTATGCCATACTCCTGGGAGTAACCCTTAGCAACCAAACGAGCTTTGTAGCGCTCAATAGATCCATCTGAATTTGTCTTGATCTTATACACCCACTTACATCCGATGGGAGTCTTGCCAGCAGGTAAATCCACCAAATCCCAAGTATGAGTCTTTTCTAAGGCCTGTAATTCCTCAGTCATAGCTTTTTGCCACAATAGATCAGCATTCGCCTCACGAAAAGACCGAGGCTCATGATGAGAAAGAATGGCCGAATAACAATGATAGTCAAGTAAGTGAGAAGGGGGACGACTTACACGAGTCGACCGTCGCTGATCAATAGCTAGCAAAGGTACAGAATCAGAAAAGGGCTCAGTACGAACTATCGGTTCAGGATGCACAGGTGGAGCCACTTCAGAAGACGGAGCCATGACAGGCGTGTCAATGAGCTGTGAGTCAGAACCTATATCTGTATTTGGAAAAAGATCTGAAGTGATAGACATGAATAAAGGAGACGCCGAATCAAACGAAATGTGGAACTTAGACAAGGAGGAAAAGGTAGTATGCTCCCAAAAGGTAACATGACGCGAAATACGCAACCGATTAGAAATCGGATCCCAACACCTAAATCCTTTGTGTTCTACCCCATAACCCAAAAAACAACACAGACGAGCTCGGGGTTCTAATTTGGTCCGCTCATGGGACGGAAGAAGAACAAAGCAAACACAACCAAAAGGACGTAACTGAGTATAATCAGGAGACTGACCGTACAACCTCTCAAAAGGACAGACATCACTAATGACTGATGAGGGCAACCGATTGATAGCATAAACAGCAGTCAACGCTGCCTCACCCCAAAAACGATCAAGACACTGAGCAGAAAGAAGAAGATCTCGGACAGTATAAAGAATGTGACGGTGTTTACGTTCAGCTCGTCCATTTTGTTAGGAAGTATATGGACAATAACGCTGAACTAAGGTACCCTGATTAGAAAGAAATTTCAAAAAAGTAGAATCTTTGTACTCAAGAGCATTATCAATATGCAAGACCTTTATAGGACAAGAAAATTGTGTAAGAATCAAGTTAGCAAATTGAACATATATGGTGGACAACTCAGAACGATTTTTGAGAAAATAGATCCAGGTAAAACGAGAAAAATCATCAACAAAAATAACAAAATACCGAAAACCACTCAGAGAAGCAACAGGAGAAGGACCCCAAATATCAGAATGTACCAAACCAAAAGGTTTATCAGCAGTTGACAAACTATCAGAAAAAGAAAGAGTCGGTTGTTTCCCAAGTTTGCAATGAAGACAACTAAAAGACTTACAAATGACCTGAACCGAAAAGACCCTTATTATATAAAGAACGAACTTTATTCAAAGACGCATGCCCAAGACGAAGATGCCACTGGAAACTAGACTTACTATCGGTGGTAGAAGCAGAAAAAGAGTAAGAACGAGAGACATGAAGTGACTCAAGCTCAAATAACCGGCCCGTCTTGCGACCTTTCCCGAGAAGCCGTCCCGTCTGTGAATCCTGAACCTGAACACCAGAAGATGAAAATATAACATTAAGACCTTGGTCAACCAATTGACCAACAGAAATAAGATTCAAGGCCAAGTCAGGAACGCAGTATGTGTCGGGAAGATGCAAGGAAGGGGAAGAAATCAAACCAGTGTGAGTAACATTCATAAGAGTACCATTAGCAGTATGTATAGGAGGTAAAGAGGTTACAGAAGACGAGGAAGACAAAAGCTGCGGGCTAGAGGTCATGTGATTGCAACAGCCAGAATCAAAATACCAATGTGATTTACCTCCGATAGTAGACATAGAAGAATTGGAAAGAATAACCTGTTTAAGAATAGCCTCTATGTCTTGAAGAGTGGAAAACGAATGCTAAGGCTCAGTAGTGACAGCCGCTATAACAGAAGAAGTGGCGGTAGAGGAAGATCCATGATGTCGATAGAATGAAACTCTCAAACGGTGTGATTTGGATGGACAATATGTAGCAATATGACCCCGAACATGACAAATGTGGCATACCAC